AAACTCGTGTTCCTAATATTGAAATAAGTGTTCGTATCTAAAACATATTTGTGTCGTATATAATCATATTTGTGATAAATTTAAGATCTTTTTTCATATACTTTCCCTTTTGATCACCCTAACCTAATGTATTCGTTAATCAAGCCAGCGCAGTTGTCATCTTGCAACCCCCCCCCCCCCCCCCCGGACGCAACTCCGATGCCACTATAATGGTTAAATGCCTCAGAAGCTCAACTCATGCACCACATTCCATTCACCACCGACGTGCAGCAAGCCCAGCTAAGGGCACAACTCAAGAATTTTTTGGAGGACTAGAGGGTGGCTCTGGCCACCATGCACCGCGCACAAGTGCTTTCTGTTGTTGATGGGACGACGATTTACTTGATTGCTGGCGCAGCGAACCCCATCCGCGTCATGGATCGCAAGATTCCGAGGGCAAGGAGGCAGATGTTTCTCGAATAGCTGTACGGAACTTTGTTGTTGAGAGTCCAGGCAAACACCACTAGATTCACAAGTAATACGACAACGAAGTAGTGGTAGCCGAGGGACCTATTTCTTCATCGCGGCCAGAAATTCGATGTCTAATCGGCGGTCCTCTCTACAGTGGCGGCTCGATCTCCACTCTCCTCGGTCACCCTCTTTCTTTAGGTCCTTCTTGTCTCCCTCCAAATTTTTCCACTATTTTGTTGTTCCTTTCTTTCCAGTCTGGTTTCCCATCTATTACGTAGTGGGCATTTTCCCTTTATAAGGTAACGACAAGTTCTGTCCCCAGTGGGGCCTTCCTCTATTGAGTCATTGTCCGCCGGCGATCTTGTCTCTTTTTCCCGACGGAAGCTCTAATGTGCCGAACTTTTTTCTCCACTAGAGAACTCATCTGGGCCCATCTATTCTGCCACCGGCTTTCTCCCTCCGTCGTGGATTTCCTCAACGACAACAAGTTCCACCCCAGTGGGTTCTTCCTCTCTTCAGCCGTAGTCCACCTTTAGAAATCTTCTGTTTCTTTCCCCGAGAGGAGCTCTGTCGTATCGGCTTTTTCCTCCACCGACGAACTTGCCTCGGCCTCCTCAATCAGGGCCAATTATTCTGCCGCCGGCTTTTCTCTTCCGTAGCGTACTTCCTCGACGACGGCAAGTTATGCCCAGTAGGTTTTTCCTCTCTTTAGCCACAGTTCGTCACCGACGATATTGTTTCTTTGCCCGACGAAAGCTCCATCGTGCCCGCTTTTCCCCTCCACTTGCGAACTCGCTTGGACCTCTCAACCGTGCATGTTCGTTCATTCTTTTCTGGCCCCCTGGGTTGTCGTGTTGGACTGGATCTGAGAGAAAGTTACTAAAGTCCAGTGGAAGGATGGTAGTGGTGACTTTGTCCACATATTTTTTACAGAGTGATAAAAATTAGCAGTTTTCATATTATTTCATTACTTGCATTCCGTACAAAAAAAAAACACAAATCTTGACAATTTATTGTGGCTTGCCGCATGTATAGATTGGAGTCCTATTAATATTCCTTTGTTGTAAAGCCCACCAAGAGAAATATAGAAAGACTGTTCAAATTTTGCTCACCTGCAAGCAAAATGTGGCTGACAGCAGGACAACTTGGACATCCTTCGACCTATTAAGGGAAGTTCCTTCACCTGGAGTATCTTCTCGAAAGATACTAGCCTTATTAAAAAGGTTGCTACGTGGAACATTAAAAATGGCAGACGCACTAAGTTTTGGCTTGATGCATGGTTTTTGTAGGTACTACTTAAGTAAGTTGCCACCGACGAGGTTCCGCTGAACATGAAGGAGCACTCTTGGGAGATTTCATTCGAGATGATGACACCTAGAGGATGAAGTTGTTGAGCGACCTATTGCCTACTGAAATTAGCAAAAGATTCTCAGTGTGGCAGTGGATAAGTTGTCACAAGAAGAAAATACACTATTTTGGGATGCTTCCTCATACGACAAGTTCTCTACCAAATTTGTTTTCGACTTCTGAAGGATCAGGTCTCAGATCTAGATGAGAGAATTTGGAGGCTATCTGTACCAGAGAGAGTAAGGAACTTCATGTAGCCGACACACCTGGGCGGCATAGCAACTAATGCTCTTCGTTTTACCAGGAAAGTGTTGCTACCAACCCAGATTGCATGAGATGTTCAGGATTACCGAAAACTATCATGCACATCCTTCGAGATTCCCCCCCCCCCCCCAACTGCCTTCTTCTAGACATGACATATCCCTAGTCAACACAACAACATGAGATCTCCAGCTCAAGTTGGGATGGGTGGCTGCGGAAAAATTTATTGAGTGGTAATCGAACACCGAAAGGAATAGAACGACCTGTGTTCTTCAGCATGGTCGTATGACTTATATGCAGTGGCGGAGGGAGAGTATAAGAGGGTGGGTCCCAGGACCCACCCTGGTTCGGATGGAATATGGTTAAATTAAGTACAATAGTTAGTCGATACATAAAATTAGGAGGCGTCTTATTGAGAATAGTTTATCGAAACGTGTAGTGTTTGAATCTTTGCGACATCATTTCTTAAGCACATGGTATTTTGATTTGTGAAACTTCCAACAACTCGATTTATTGATAATAAACGATTCTTAACAAAGAACATCATTTGAAAATGAACGACTAATTAAATCATGAATTATTATTTTGTATAAGATTCATTATTATACTTCTCTAAAAAACTCGAGTTGTTGATACTAAATTGTTCTTTACAAAGAACGCCATTCGAAGAAAACGGATAGCTAAATCATTAATAATTATTTGGTACACATAGTGATAAATATGATAGTTTCGACCACTAACGTATTTTAATTTACCAAAAAATTTCAATATAAAATTGTATCATGAATGATTAGCAAAGTTTACAAAAGCTATTTTATCATGTGTATTTTTCTTCTAAGTGGACCCACCTTAGATGAAATCCTGGCTACGCCACTGCTTATATGGAAGAATCACTACACAACCTGCTTCACAGGCCTTGCAGTGGCTCTATCTCCTCCCTCCCTTGAATATTCGATCATGGTTAAAGCCAAGTTGTGGTATGATGCTTGGAATGCCCGTCGCTTCTTCATGATTGCACGAATAGGCCAGCAAGCCAAGTGATAGCAAACATTGGTTGGATGCCACCGCTAGAGGGGTGGCTAACCCACAATATTAATGGGGCCTCAAATTGAAATAATTATTGAAGAGAAAATTAAAAGAGTGTAAAATCATACTTAAAAACATATAAGTAAAAATTACCATAGAGGAAATTGAAAGAGGTTTTGTTAGCTATACTTATCTAGAATAACCGTTGGTATCTCCAATAATTGTAACAGGCGACAAGCTCAAGAATTGTAGTGGGTGGAATTGGAACAATCGGCGGGAAACCGATGTCGTTCTTTCCCACATTGGTGTCGCAGAACTTCCGTCATCTGTCTTCACTTCACCATGCGCTAATGTACCTCTGCTCGATGAAGAAAGTGAGCGACATGATAGAGCATACGACGATGACCAGCCAAAGCCGAGGCACAACTAAGGAACTCTAATATGGTCCCATACAACCGCAACTATTAATATCATGATATTAAAGTAGATCAATTTAAATAAATGCATAAATTTTAGAGTAAAGACTAATTATTAGCCGAACTTTTCTCGAATTTTTTGTTATACTAGTCAAATCTTTTGAATTACTAATAATTATTCAAATATCAACTTCAAGTTAGCAAATTTGTTAGTAATATTGACCTGGCAACATGATACTGACTTGGAAAAGACACATGGAAGTCAACATTCCAAAACTTCAGCATTTTAACAACGAAAAGGAGTTAGAAAATTATTAACGGTAACAGAAAATGGCTAATATTTTAATGCATTACAAAAAATTTGACTAATTATTAGTAATTCAATAAAATTGACTGATAAAAAACAAAGCGAAATTATTTTGACTAATAATTAGTAATTACTTTAAATTTTAATTCACATAACCATAAATTACATAAATATTAACCATTGGAAATACCACACCAACCTACTATTTTTAATCTTAAACCTAATGGATCATTTGGATGAGGAATTCTAATGGATCAATTTGACACAATTGTCTCGTTTTGAGTCAATTGTGCCAGATTGATCCGTTTGGCAGCAGAAAATTTGGATGAAGCAATTTGGGCTGGGGAATTCTGAATTGACTCATTTTGAGCGAATTACAATTGTCCGGGGTGGGGGCAGGTAATTTGAATTGACTCGTTTTAAATGACTCATTTTGTAAAATGAAACAAATAGTCAAATTGTCTCGTTTTACAATTGATCCATCCAAACCATCCTCTTAGGGTAGATTGATTTAATTAATTGTGTCCGACCGACAACTTTCGCACCTAAAAAAAACCGCGATGGGATGGAAGGCAAAACAGCAAAAGCAAAGATCTGGCACGTTTGTCCATGATTGGGCCAAAGGATCCACACCCGCCAGTCGCCACCGTCAAACATGAGGATATTCTTATTTGGGCCTTTTATGTCCAGACAATAAACTATGAAGGGACGATTGGGCTTATGTGTCGCTCATCGAGAGACTGCATGCACACACAGCACACTCGTTATCTCATCGGCAATTCGGCATAGCATCCTCGTCCGGCCGTAGGATAGGGAGAGATGCTAATGTACAGATAGATACATTCATAAACAGGCAATGAAAAACGCTTTTTACTTAAACAATCCAATTCCCGAATTCGAAGGACGGCAGTCGGCAAGGGCAATGGAATCAACCAATGATTCATTACTATGAAGTTAATTACTAATTTAATCAAACCAGCAGTCCAGGTGGCCACTATCTCTGCCAGCTGGCGTACAAACCCGAAACACTCTCTAAGCAATTTCATTTGCTTTGAATATTCAGAAACCAGAAAGTACTCTGCATTTCCACTCACAGATTTCCGTGTTCCACCGCAATTCCTCCTCCATTACTCTCTTCTGTCTAAGCTCATCTTCATCGGAAGCTAGCTCTCGATCATCCGAGCCTACCATTCATGGCGTCCTTGAGCTTCGCGCCCCAGCCGCTCACCTGCCGGGCGAGATCGGTACAGAGTCGGCGGCGCGGGGTCGGTTTCTGCAACTTCAAGCTCGTGGCCGGCGGCGGCGGTGAGAATGGAAGCGCGGCAGCGGAGCCGGATCTGAGCGTGACGGTGAACGGATTGAAGATGCCTAATCCGTTCGTGATCGGGTCTGGTCCCCCCGGGACCAACTACACTGTGATGAAGCGTGCGTTTGATGAAGGCTGGGGTGCTGTGATTGCCAAGACTGTGAGTCGTCCTTTTCTCTTCCTCTTTACTTCACTTGGATTACTCGATCGGTGTTTTGATTTCGTTCGATTCGCTGCCCGACTCTTCTGAGAATTTGATTTATACTGCCTACCTGATAAGTTTGAGAATTTGGATCCGTTTTAGAACTATTCGTGTCAATTTTCACCCATCGATGAAACCATGATAATTGAAATGGACTCTAGTCTTTCCGCTAAGCTTTTAGTTTTGACCATCGTTGGGGAAAGGAGCCTGATCAGAGGTCGATTATTGTACAGCTTCTTTCTATACTAAATTATTGTCTTGGAATTGGTCCGTATCCAGTTATCCACTACTCTATGTACTGGTATTTCAGTAAAAAGAGGTAGAGAGGTCGTCGTCTTTACTTCCGGCGTTTCGAATTCGCCAGTTGACTATTGAGGGTCTGGGTAACAGTTTGAAGGAATGAGACTGTAAGAGGGGTCGCTTTGTGAAGAATGAGTTGGGGATTCTTGTAACTGTGCATGCATGAGAGATGGCTAAAGAGTGGCAATAAATAATGTTCTTGGATCACCCTGGGGGCTCTCTTTTTGCAGGCTTCTATTTCATTCATTGTGTCGTCCTCTGTCCTTCTTGTGCTCCCCCTTTAGTTGTCTCTACTTTCCCCTTGTTGTATCTCCTCTTCATCTTGTTGTTTCCTTTGTCTTTTGTTCTTTGGTTTGGCGCTCACTCCTCATGGCTGCTTGACTCATGTTACTTAGTTTCCTTTTTTCTGTGGAATGCAATCACCCTCATTGAATTTTTTTGTTTGTTTGTTTCACATGGCTACTCATTTGTGCTCTCTTTCTCTCCAATACTCAAATCGTTCCTCTTCTTGGGGAACTGCCGACTATTTGGGTAATGTACCCCAGGTTAAGGGTGGATTCTCTTCAATTGGCATCACACATACTATTTTACAATGGTTTGTGGCATTGAGCAACATCTGCAATGGGCAATTCTCAAGTTTTGTGATTGGGACCCTTATATTGCTTTACTAATTTATGAATTACTGTAGGAAACAAAGGATATTGGTCTAAGCTTGAACATTTGTTCTGTTTTTAGTCTCTTAAGGATATATATTTAGCTGTTTCTGGGAGATGTCGATGGTACAAATGTACAATGACAGTGATTGGCATTATATGTATTTCAGTTTATTTAAATATATGTAGATGGCTTTGTTTTTACTTATTCCATTTGTATGGCGCACTACCTACTCGAACTGTATGTCAATCCTCAAATGCTATTTCAGTGAATTTCATGTTCTATTTCCCGCTGCTTATTTGAGAACCATCTCTGAGTTTCTTCCGAAGCATCCTGCTTTCATCTGCTATCTGATGAGATTTAGTTGTTCATACTGATTTGCCAGGTGTCGCTGGATGCAGCTAAGGTAATTAATGTAACTCCTCGGTATGCCAAGTTACGGGCTGGAGCAAATGGCTCAGCCAAAGGACAGATAATCGGCTGGGAGAACATAGAGCTTATAAGTGACAGACCCCTCGAGATAATGCTGCAAGAGTTTAAGCAATTGAAGGAGGAATATCCAGATAGGATTCTGATTGCTTCTATCATGGAGGAGTACAGCAAATCTGGTTGGGAGGAACTCATAGATCGTGTAGAGCAAACTGGAATTGTGAGCTTAACTTATAACCCCTAATAATTGAATATATCAGTATTGGTCACTGCTTGCCTAATTATAGTAGTCTTAAATCTACTATGCAGGATGCTCTTGAAATCAATTTCTCTTGTCCTCATGGTATGCCTGAGCGTAAAATGGGCGCAGCAGTCGGACAGGACTGTGCACTATTGGAAGAAGTTTGTGGATGGATAAATGCAAAAGCTACTGTTCCTGTTTGGGCTAAGATGACTCCTAATATCACTGACATTACACAGGTGACTTACTTCTTTGCATCCGTGTTTTCCCACTTCTTATACGTCTCATATTTTCGCTGCTTCATGTATAACTTCCACCGATCCCCTAGAGTATGACATCTGTTCCTCAGTCCTATGTTAGGTCTTACACAAGGACAAGGGTAGTTAGTAACTCTAGTTTTAATCAGGGCCCCGTTAATTCTCTAGGTATTCGACATGAACTGTACATGCATTATCCTGTGCATTCTTTATGAATCTAGTCCAAAAGGCTACGAAGTTACATAATTCAATAGTGCCAAGAAGTCCTTTTTTTCTTTATGTTTGGTTGGGAAGAGTAAGGAGGGGTTGGATAATTGCAGTAACCCAAACCTAGAGACAACCTTGTAAGAGGGGTGATAAAAAAAGCATAGGAATATATTCCTTGCCTGAAGAAAAATTGTAAGTCAGAATACAACATTCAACCCCAGCAGTTAACCCCATGATCTTCATAGGAGCACAATTTATGCATCTGGGCTGGCTGCTGTTGGTTCCTCTGTCATGTATTCTCTTCTGGTTTCTGAGTGCTTTAAAGAGGAAAATTTCCATGACATTCTATTCACCACAATTATTTCGTGAACATGTTGACGAACACTCTAGTGCTTTTCTTTTTGTCCAACAGCCAGCTAGGGTGGCCCTAAAATCTGGATGTGAGGGTATAGCAGCCATTAACACCATCATGAGTGTAATGGGAATCAATTTGAAAACCTTGCGTCCAGAGCCCTGTGTAGAGGGGTACGTAACTCTTCTTGGACTATGCGTCGATTTCTGCCATGTCATCTAGGCATATATGCATTCTTCACATTGAGCCTCTTGGTACCAGATATTCAACTCCAGGTGGTTACTCTTCCAAAGCAGTGCACCCAATTGCACTCGGAAAAGTAATGAATATCGCCAAAATGATGAAGGCTGAATTTAACGACGAGCAGTACTCACTCTCTGGCATTGGAGGTGTCGAGACAGGTGGTGATGCAGCCGAGTTTATTCTCCTTGGAGCAAGCACAGTTCAGGTAGGAACCATCCCCCCCCCCTCCCCCTTCTCTCTCTCTCTCTTTTCTCATAGCACCTTGTAACTAGAAAGCTCGTTCTCATTTGATTGGTTATGATCATGTCCGAGCAGGTGTGCACGGGAGTAATGATGCACGGGTATCCCATGGTGAAGAGACTGTGCGAGGAGCTCAAGGACTTCATGAGAACGCACGACTTCTCGTCCATCGAAGATTTCAGAGGGTAAATGGCGTTCAGATCGCCATGGCATGATGCTTTTTATCTACTTCGATCGCTAACGAGACAGTAGGAATCAAAACTTAACAAAAACTGTTTCTTTTTGGGATTTCACAGGGCATCTCTGGATTACTTCACAACTCACACCGATTTAGTACGGCGGCAGCAAGAGGCCATTCAACAGAGGAAGGCTGTGAGGAAAGGTTTGAAATCTGATAAAGAATGGACCGGAGACGGGTTTGTAGAAGAGACTGAGAGCATGGTTTCCAATTGAACACCATTCCTCCTTCTCGATCTCCTTCTGTGTCCCATACTTGTCTGATTAAAATGAAAAATTAAGGAATAAAAGAGGCAAGCTAAAGGATGTTGTCTGTTAATGATGAACTGTGGAAGGCTTACTTTACTTCTGTGCATTACTACGAATATGAACACGAATGTTGCGTAAATCTCAACTGTAATATTTGACTGTAAAACTTCAGAATCAGTGAATTACCCATGCTCACTTTGTATCATTGTATGTGATTATGTACTTCTTGTGCGCATGCAGAACAGAAAGCAACAATGATTACTTGTACTAAGTGTGGAACGAATATGTTGTGGTTGGCTTGTTAAATCTAAATCTAAGTCTTAAGGTTACTGATAATTAATTAAGAATGCATTGGGCTAATCATTGGGGGGATTAGGATTAACAACTACAGATATTTGGATTTCTTTATGGAGATTATGATGACAGCGAAATGAAACCCTATCAAATCACGTGGGTGGGACTGGGGAGTAGTTCCAAAGAAACCAAAGGGAAAAAGCCATGTGCACTTGTCTCGTGTCCTCCTTGACACATTCCCATTTTGACTTGACTACACTATAACTCAAGTTGCACGGCATGCAAATCTCCATGATGAAACTTGAAAGTGCATGTGGTAACTACACGTGTATACCGAACCTCGCATTCGACGATATCGGTATGTGCATATATATAGGGTGAAACTACATACGATAGATTAGATTATTGATGAGTGGTTCATAAACATTAGACACATTAATCGTGTATGAGGCGAGAAGTAGAGCTTGTGGAGATCATGATCAAAGAGCTGTATTTGGGATGTCATATAACAATCTATTCGCAAAATTCTAATTTCTAACCGTTTGCGAAATTTGAAGGATCATATGTGCAAAGTTCGACCATCATGATGCCTAACAAGTTCACTTGAAAAAAGTAAATTCAGTATAAACACTTGAGATTGGTGATGTAGATGAGGTAGGGGTTCTCACAAATAAAAATGAAGCACATGGATGGTGTGTTGTTATTTAAAAAGATACTTCTACTAAATTAATACATGATTTGATGCCATAATTCAAATTATGTCCTAAACATAATCATACAAAATGATTTGCAATTATTATTGAGCCCAATTCCGTGAAAATAAAATTGAAAATCAGCTTATGCATAGATTATAAAAAAAACCTAGATAAAAAAGTTGAATTGTGAAAATTGACCAATTGGTAAAAATTCTTGCTATAAATAGCGTATAGACTATAGTCTATAGTATAGAGGTTGACGAGAATCTAAACGTATAATATAACAAACAAAGCTCTCGCTTTGCTTTTCGGACAAGCCGATTTCTCTCTTTCCACCCTATCTATCAATGAAGGAGATCCACGCCATTTCCATTTTCCAGCAGCAACACAGTTTAATTATTAGATTAGTAGCCTAATAATAGTCATCAAACGCTTAATTACAAAAACCGTCTCTTCCTCCCTCCCTGTTTCGAAATCTGGTTTTGGTTTGCTCGGCCAGCCCAGCCATGGCCGTTTCTCTCATCAACATCATCTTTCCAATCCCTCCCAAACCCCCTTTCTCTCCCTAGCCAACCTCTCCTCAACTCCTTCCGTCCCTCTCCAGTTCATTTCTCCGTCGTGATGCTCGTGTTCTGAAACCAATTTCATCGGTCCAATTTCCATGGCGATCGTCACCGGTGATCGCTACTTGGAAAAGCTGGTAAACTTCGTCGAGCAGCAGGCCGGTCCGCTAATCGACGGCGCTCTCGTCCTCAAGCTCAACCCGGTGGGGCTCCACTACGTCCACTCCCGTCTCGAGGCCTTGCAGGAGCTGGAGAATCTCGTCGCCGGTGCTCCCGTCGACTACCTCCGCGCCTACGTCTCCGACCTTGGGGACTACCGCGCGCTCGAGCAGCTCCGCCGTATCCTCAGGCTGCTCACGTCGCTCAAGGTCGTCTCGGTCCTGCCGCCGCCGACGCGAGATCCTACGCCTCTGTCCTTGCTGCCGTTTGAGAAGTTGAAGGTATTGGAGCTTAGAGGATGCGATTTGTCAACTTCGGCTGCTAGGGGTTTGCTTGAGCTGAGGCATACCTTGGAGAAGATCGTCTGTCACAATTCTACTGTGAGTGCCAACTCTGGTCTCCCATGTTCCACTATTCTGTTCCCGAACTTACTCAATTGCGGTAGTGGAAGATAGAATTCAAGCTTGAACTCTCTCGTGTGATTTGTTTATAGAATGGATAGCTTTTAATTTTGGCACCTTACCTTCTTTGCTTTCTTTTCACCATCTAGGATGCTCTTCGGCATGTGTTTGCCAGCAGGATTGCGGACATCAAGGACTCTCCTCAGTGGAACAAGCTATCGTTTGTGTCATGTGCATCTAACCGGTTGATTTTGATGGACGAGTCGCTGCACCTCCTTCCGGCTGTTGAGATTCTTGATTTGAGTCGAAATAAGTTTGCTAAAGTTGATAATCTACGGAAATGTGTTAATTTGAAGCACCTGGATCTTGGATTCAATCATCTAAGGAGAATTGCTCCCTTCGGTGAGGTAGGTGTTGATGCCTGTATGCTGTAACTAGTTCTTTTAGATATGTTGGCGTATCGTTTTCGACGGGTATTCTTTTAAAATTTTGTGCATAAGTTCATTTGTTGAATTGATATGTGAAATTCAGTAGTGTTTCCTTGTATCTTATTATACCAAGTTGTTGTTACTGTTTTTTTTCCTTCTTTCCCAATCTCAAGCAGATATAGCATGCTTCATAGTGGGTATATATATTGTTATCCTTAGTTCTTATTTTCTAAGTTGGGTGCTGCTATGTGATTCTAGTACTGGCATGTAGGTGATGCTGTATCAAAAACTTCACGATGAGGAATATTGCCAACTGTCCTCCAAAAGATTAATAGAAAATGTATTGCAAAGTCCAGTTAACAGGACTGGTACATCTCTTGTAAATTTCTCTGAGAAACCATCTCTTGATTAAATGGTGATAAGATATGGATGGGGCTAGACTAGAGTTGAGAGTTCAGTTTCAGGTTTTATGCATAATTCTTGAGTCAAAGGAAATTAATAGTTGATTCAGGGATATCTAAAAGATTATGTATGAAGTGAACGTTGGGGCAACAACATACCTAGCTTATTTACTTCTCTGGCCGTGTAACTTAGTGTGAAGTCGATCATTATATTTAGGCATTAGCTCTATGCAAACAAGTAAGTATTGTCTTGTGTGCCCCTTCAACCTTGCAGTGAATCCCGATCTGAGCAATGGCAATTATTAAAATATATTCCTGAATGCTGATAACATTCTAATTGCTCATGAAATTCAGAACTGTGAGTCAGAGTACTGATTATAAGATCCTGGTTTGGCTCTGCAGGTACCATGCAACATTGTTAAGCTTGTACTGAGGAACAATGCATTGACAACATTGCATGGCCTTGAGAACTTAAAATCGCTAGAGCATCTTGATGTATCATACAATATCGTCTCCAACTTTTTGGAGCTGGAGGTCCTTTCAAGCCTTCCATCACTATGCAACTTGTGGCTGGAAGGAAATCCATTATGTTGCGGGAGATGGTATCGAGCACAAGTATTCAGCTATTTTTCTCAACCTTGCAATGTAAGTGTTGGAATTTGTACTATAATAATAATTTCCGTTCCCTTCCTCATCCACTACATCTTCAACCATGGTATCGGAATCAATGGGAAAGCCGAGATTTGGTAAGGAGCGCCACAGTGTATATAGGCGAAATGAATGGCCTTGCATGCAGAGTTTTTGTCCTCCTAGTACCTGAATGAGGTTTCAATTCATGGGTTGAAAGCGAGTGTTTTCATTAGTGATTATAAGAAGGTTATGGTGAGGCACAATATGGAAAATTTCTATTTGTGATCCTTTTCCATTGTAGTATTGCGGGACGTTTACTGGAGAGTAATAGGAATAAGGGGCTGATTATATTAATCACTCTTTCTGGAAAGCCAACTACGGCAAATAGAAGGGAGAAGAGCAGGGAAGAATATGCAGTTGATAAGATTAATGGCCAGGATTAGGACGGGTTTTTGAATAATTGGATTACGTGATTGGTATACAAAAGTTAGCAACTATTATGTCTTCTTTTAGTGGAATCCATGTTTTAAGAAATGACTTGACCATTTTCTAATCGGATATTCGGTATATTGAGAATTGTGATACTGCTGAATTGGCAAGTTGGGAAAATATGCGGTTGGTAAGGATTTAACTGGAGAAAGAAGGCAACTCTGATTGTGTCTGTTTTGAGTGGGCAGAAGATGTACATCTTGTGCTGATTGAAATCATCTTTATATGACTTTGTTTTTGTCACAAGGTCTTGCTATGCTAATAGCCATCTTGTTCATCTTCTTTTGCTGATTAGTTGAAGCTGGATGACAAGGCGATCAGCACAAGGGAGTACTGGAAGAGACAAATCATAGTTGCCAGCCGACACAAGCGACCTGCCAGCTTTGGGTTTTATTCTCCTGCTATAGAAGATGCTTTAGGAGTGGGTTGTATCATCAAGAAAAAAGTATGTAATTACCAACAAGATGTATGTTAGTTAATTAATGTGTGAGCATACCTGATTGTGCCTTGTGTTTCTCAGTACTTTGCCTGATTCTACCTTCCTGTGGCGAATTAGTGTTTTCACTGTTGAATACTATTGTGTCTTTTACTTATACTGGAAGGTGCCATTTGCTTATAATATCTCACTAAGCCAAAGCATTTTGCAGCAAAAAGTATGTCGTCTTGCCTCAATCAAGAGTGATGAAGATTGCTTGTCTTCTATGTCCGATCCGGAGTCTTCCCCATGCAATCATGAGGCTCAAAGCAAGGAAGAGAACATGAAATCTGATGATGAAGCTGAAATTGTCAATTTGATGAACAGAGTTGAACTCATGAAGAAAGAGCGCTCTTCTCTTTGGTTGAAAGAATTAAAGAAATGGATGGATCCTGAACCTGTGAAATCTTTGGATTGCAATACATATAATGGCTCCATCTCAGAGGCTGCAAAAGGAATCATTGAAGGAAACAAAGTAAGGCAGAAGCATGAGGGAAAAGGGTCAAGATGTTCCTGTGACTGTCTTCAAGCTTCTGAAGATGAGACTAGCACCAATGTTTTTGACTCAGACAGTTCCCTTATGGACGTGCATAATGATGCACAGGGTGGTATTGCTGTGCCTGATTCTGGAAGGAAGATTTTCAAGTCGAAGTATCAAGGGCTAGGTACTCCAACTGTGCGAACTGCGAGTTCACATCTTGATAATTCCAAAGTCCAGAGAGGATGGGGGATGGTTGAAAATGTTAGATTATCACCATTGAACACGATAGATGACACAACAGAATCTCTGTCGTCTTCTAATTTCCATGGGTCTCCACCTCACTATCAAAGGGACCTTTTGCACCGTCACCATAACCTGGTGGAAGAAATTATGCAGCTTTCTGTCGATTCCTATTCAGTGGTATCTTCTGATACTGATACAACTGCTAGCGAAGATGAATTTTATGACATTGGGCATCCTATGTATCAATATGATGATGGAAGTCAATTGGCTGAAGAAAACTGTAATCCGAATCTTTCAAGGATCTCATTATCAGTTAGCAATTGGGAGAAGACTGGTGAAGGGAATTCTATTCATCACAGAGGAGGTGACAAATATGTATGGAACTCGCATTCTGGACAAATATCTACTATATCAGAAAGAGCAGGTACATGGACCAATGGTTCGTCTGGTGTTTCTTGCAATGGTGTAGTTCCTAATTCTGATGACCAAGAGGCTCATGAGGCGGAGAAGAGAAAAGATAGGAGCAAAGCAAGGAGAATTGGTCAAATAGCAGAAAATTTGGTTGAATGTACAGGCCCATCAGGAAAGTCTAATGGTTGTCCAAATGCTTGTGAAGGCATAAATGAGAATCAACGAGAGCAAATAGTTGAGGAAAATGGTATTCTTGAGGCCATTGATGATAAATGGTTGCGTACAAGTGCGTTTACTTCCATACATTCAACGGTTGGTAAATCTTCCGTTGATTCCATAGAGAAAGACTTCCCGTGATGAGACCTGTCTTTATTCTGTGTTTTGCAGTTGTATTCTTGAGACAGAAGCCTCACTCAAGGAAAGGTAGACTTTCTTCAGTAACCGAGGTTGCTTCATTGTATATAGTTTGAAGTCATTATTTTCTGCATTCCACGCTTGAGATGGAGCCCGTGTAATCTTCCAAAGCTCTTCGCTTGGGTCTGAAGTACTCTTCTCAGTCATATAGAAGCGCCCTTTGGTGACTTCGAAATCAATTTTTATTACCGGGGGACAATGTATCATAGTGGAGAATGTTAATATTTTGTATCTCACTGATCACTGTCTACCCATGACTCATAAATTTGATCGACACATGCATCTTCTCTTAAGACTAACACTAGGATTGACCATAGATGAATGCTGTTATACTTTACTGATTCAGAAGCCCAAGAACCATTAATTCACACGGCAGTTTCTATTTCTAATTTGTTTGAGACCCTTGCAAAAAGAGGCTGCAGGTCTTCATGGATTTTTGTCTGAGGTGCCAAAGTTCTAGTTTTTCTCATGGTAGGAACCATCATTAATCAAAGAGTTAAATTTCTTCTCTACATTGCAACTATTTATCCCTTTTTGAGAGTTAACATTAGTAGTACTTTGGTTGGTTATGGGGTATCAGTTTGTTCTATAGCATCTCATATAGCAAAGGGTAAGAAATTCAGGGTCTTACCCATGTTTTATGTATCGCAGCTTTTCTTACTCGTATTTGAGTTCTCTGAGTTTGTCTGGTTGCAGTGAAGTTGTGTTATTATGGAGCAGTGAGAACAAGCTGTATTTGCTGCTTGTTGGTTTAGCTTTGAATGGTACGGGTTAGTTTCGGAGCACTTAGATATGGAATAATATTTCAATACTTTTTGTTGAGTTTGATATATGGAACTTTCTTATCTTTGGTTCAGCATCACAAATATGGAGGTTCTCTTTGCTGGCATGCTGCAGGAAATGCTTTCATTTTGTTACAAAATTGAAGATGTTAGTGAAGTCATGACTGGCATTGGACTTCAGATCGTGAGGTGAGTTACTTCTGTTCCTCACTTCCTTGTGAACATTTTGTGATTGGTGATGTTCCTTAACCTGGTTCCCTTTTGTGTTCTTGCCTGTCAGAGTGTCCATCCAGAGGCAAGCAACCTACTTGTTTCTGACCAGGAGCATTGAAAAGTCAAGGCCAGCCCTTTTGTCCTTTGGATCTTTTCAGTTCCTTGCCGTCAAATGAGACTTGTTCATTCATAAGGTTCTCTATGTTATCCCCTTTCTCATATGAATTATGTTTTGATTAATTGATTTCTGGCAGTGCATGTGTAGTAACATTTCAGATTGGCCAATTAGTCCGGACTTTTCTGTTCACGTGTCTTTTATTTAAAATTCTACCGGTGTATTTTGGAAACCTGTGTGGCAGTTTGGAGCAGGTTCAGGTTGAGTTGTTTGAGAAACAAATATGTGGTGGTTCAAGAACAAGCATATATCAAATATTCTATGGTTCATTTCCGTCACAGCAACACAGGTGAGCTTTCTTCTCCTAAACTAGTGGACTTGATGATGATATTAGAACTTAGACGGACATGAAATGCCTAGGGTGGGTGTAAAATAGTTTGCAACAAATAGTGCTGTCGGAATCTAGAACATTTATTTAGTGCAAAGCAAGGCCTTTGATAGGTAGCATGGAGGAAGAACCGCCACGCCACACCAGTTGATGATAAGGTTTTTTTGGTTTGGCACCTTAACTCAAGGTTGATGACTCTTAGATTAGAAGTCACAATGAATGACTCTTGCAAAAAGGCACTGAAATTTGTATTCCCAATACAAGCCCTCTTATATAGAGAGGCTGCAAAGTAGAAGAAAGAAATCCCACTACTAGCTGAATAGTAACCTTCTGAAATTCTGCATATAAACCTGGAATGGAAAGCTTTTCAACAAGGTTGTTCTTAGCGAAGCGGATTCCATGATATAAGAAATTACACGTGTACCATTTTGTAAACGATTTAACTGGAACAGAAGGTAATCTGATTGTGTCTGTTTTGAGTGGGCGAAAAATATACATCCTGGGGTGATTGGAATTATCTTTATACTAGTTTGTTTTGTCACAAAGTCCTGCTATGCTAATAACCATCTTGTCAATCTTCTTTTGCTGATTAGTTGAAGCTGGATGACAAGCCAATCAGCACCAGGGAGTACTGGTTGCATCTCTTGCCTGCCATTCATAAGCACAAGCAATGGTGGCCTGAAGGGACAAATAATTACAGCATGTCAGCAACCGATGCAAAGACAGGAAGGTTGAGAGGGCCAAATTGGAGTTGCTTGCTATAGCAAGGGTCGAAGGCATGTTTCAAGTGAAGCGCGGCGCATCTGTACAACATATTTAGTGCATCAAACCTATATAGATAGGCATAGCCAGTGGAGTTGTGTCATAGCCCAAGAATCTTGCAATCTGATTAGCAACAACTTCAGTTTCTTCCAACAAGCAATGCCAATACAAAGTGGGATATTAACAAGTACATAACAAGTTTTCCTTAAGTAAGCAAAGGTTTTGCTTGGTGTAGGATAGAACCCCATATATATATATATGGCGAGTTCTATGGTACCCCGGGTAAAATTCGGGGTATGGCGTACCTTGACGATCTTGACCGTACGTGTGATCTCGACGGCTGAGATTATTTCTGGTTAATTGATTTATATATTAGTGATTTAATTAAATAAAATTATAGGAAGACACATAGAATTAGTTTTTCTTTCATTTTAGTCCTCTATGTCCGTGGGTTGGGTAGTTTGAGTTGGGTAGGGTTTTTTTAATATTTTGATTGACCCCAAATTCAACCACCCCAAAACATAAAGGGTACCTCCGTACCTACCCCATCCAACCCTACCCGCACTTCGTTCCCCCAATCCCGACCCTCTGTTCTCCATTTTTGTTTTTATGCTTCGTTCGAACCCTATCATTTTCAATAGCGTCGATGCTACCCTAATACCCTATCCTCTTCCCCTGTTCCTCCGTCGTCCGTCGCTAGACGCCGCTACCCTTCTCCCTACCCTTTCTAATCTCCCTTGTCGGCCCCAAATTCATCACTCACCAACAACTTAGACTCTCCTTGGGGAAGGAATTTCGAATCCTTGCAACAACAAGAAGAAGGAAGGTTGCTCCTCTGCTCGCTTTTTCTGGCGATTGGCGTTATGGCTTCTCGAACGAGTTGCAGAGACCTTCGTCGAAATAAAAAGGGGTGACCTCCCCACCGGAGAGTCCTCCCAAGACGACACAAATGGTCTTTGATGACCCTGGCGCCATTAGCCTCGCTTCCAAGTTCCGTCACCAACAGATCAACGGCGGCGCCTCAATGTTCTATCACTGATGATGTCAAACCTTCCAGGGTCAAGTTCTGGGAATTTTGTTTATCGCACATATTTGTTTTAAAACTAGCTATGCCATACCCTCAAAATCAATAATAGGGACCATGTTTTATCAGTATGCTATTATGGAAATAATCATGCCTGCTTAGTTTGCATCAGGTACAACCTAGCAAGATCCATTCTGTTGCAATTCGCATTAATTGTTTACCTCATCAGCAACCTGGTAAAAGAAGATTGAAAAGAAGTAGTAGATAGGAGCTCTGTACTGCTTGTTATATATATATATATATATATATATATATATATATATTTTTTTTTTATGAATGACTGCTTGTTATTCGACTGAGGCGATTTTGGGGATTTATGTGGAGCAGCAAACTAAAGTTTGAATTTGACAAAAAAAAAAAACTGAAATTTGAAATACGAACAGGAAGAAGACAATCGAAGTGAAGCTTCTGATCGTTTCTCAACCACTCACGAGATGGAATGTGGGCTGACTATGTATAAGAAGGCCAAAGAAAGATATTTAAAAGCTGTCCAAAAATGGAGGCTAACGAAGTGAGAATGGGCATTCGGCCCAGAATAAAAGAATAAAAAACAGGTTCATAGTTCGATAAAGTCAATTAGCTTTCACTTTTTTTTTTAATCCCCATCATCACACTTAATAGTTTCCACAAACTTTAGCATATAAAACAAGAAACTTTGGCAACTTAGTAGTTAAGCTAGTAGTTTACTTTAAGTTTGCTAGAATAGGTGTAGGGTTCGAATACTAGGTTCAAGTCCGGGGTTGGATCACATCCTTAAGCCCCAAACTTAAGAAGTTTCTTAAGCTTTGATCGGCCAATAGGGAGAGGAGAGAGAAGGGAGGAAGGTAACTAACTAAAAGGGCAAATGGGGAAGTTTACTTAATTATTTAATGTTATTGATAATTATATTTATTTCTGGAATATGCTTAATTGACTACAAACACGTCACTTACCATTTGCAACAACCGCTTCTCTCTTCGTCCGGAAAAAAAGCCATAATACAATAACGGCTTCTCTCTTGGTTAAAAATGGACAAGTTTCTGTTAATAACCGTGATATGAAATAAACTTAGGATAGTTAATAATAACATGAATCGCTATTAACACAGTTGTACCTCTTTATTGGCGCCTAATACACCTATTACCAATAGTTGTATAGTACTAATGTAGGGTATTACTAAACGGGTTATTAACGGGTTCAGCAGTTTGTGAAAAAATAGTTTGCTACATGTGTAGATGTTTCCGTTTAACTTCGTTGATAATTAAACTATTTTGATTAAAAATGAATAATTTTTTATTAATAATAGTAGCATTGCCGGTTAATAGTGTATAATAATATTGGTTGACGATGTGGTTGAATATTATTAAAATTGTAACGTTAATTTGCTAATAACGGTGTCGAGAATATTGACACAGATAAAAATATTAAAAATATTTTCGTGGTCGGGTAAGAACATTGAAAATATTTATATATATTGTTAATGATTCGTAGCATAAAGGTTGATAACTTTATATTGGATTGTCAACAACGTACCGACGAATGTTGATAATTTAATTGTTGATAAGTGTGAACGTTATATAATTTACCTTTAAAAATGACTGAGACATCATTAATCATAATATACCTTTAAAACATCATTGACAACCACAAGATAAAACATTAATAACGAATAGGCATTGCAATGAAAATGCAAGCAAAATTATTAATAATAAACATATAACAATTTATTAATAGCAACCTTAAAAACATTAATTACAGTAATACAACAAACACACATAAAAATGCAACTATCTTCTCAAAATGTTGATAACGATGGAAATAAATATTTATAAGTAAGTTGTGCTTCATTTAAAATGCAAGAAAAATATTTGATAATGATCGAATCTAATTATCGTCAATCACATTACATATTATTAATAATTCTTTCTCAAACATTGATACGCTTATATCACTTGCTGACAATTATACAAATTAAAATACTGATATAGGGAAACATTAATAAGTAATAACCATAATGTATGTCATTAATAATACCTACAAAAATGTTAACAACGTTCCATTAAACCATTCAAAAGGAAAGCAAAAATTGTTAACGATGCTTGTTGCCTATAGCCAAATCCTTTTCAACGTACGTAAATACATTAACAATCGACTAGGAATGGTTAAGAATCAGTTATGAACTATTAATAATCACCGCAAAAAAAGGCAATAACACGATTGAAAAATTTTAACAACCATAGGAAGATAATTTACCATTACTTCACAAAATGTTAATAAATAGATCGAATATTATTAAAATTGTAACGTTAATTTGCTAATAACGGTGTCGAGAATATTGACACAGATAAAAATATTAAAAATATTTTCATGGTCGGGTAAGAGCATTGAAAATATTTATATATATATTGCTAATGATTTGTAGCATAAAGGTTGATAACTTTATATTGGATTGTCAACAACGTACCGATGAAAATGTATGTCATTAATAATACCTACAAAAATGTTAACAACGTTCCATTAAACCATTCAAAAGGAAAGCAAAAATTGTTAACGATGCTTGTTGCCTATAGCCAAATCTTTTTCAACGTACTTAAATTCATTAACAATCGACTAGGAATGGTTAAGAATCCGTTATGAACTATTAATAATCACCGCAAAAAAAGGCAATAACACGATTGAAAACCTTTAACAACCATAGGAAGATAATTTACCATTACTTCACAAAATGTTAATAAATAGATCGATCAGATTAAGCAACCACACCCACGATGCATACTCTATTAAGCAAAAACACAAGAAAGGGAAGATGTCGAAGGGAGCTTCAACGATGACGTGAAGTTGCTCCTCCCAACGAGATTTGCAACGCTGAAAGGATGGATGGAAGACGTCGCCAAGCTGCGGATTTAACGAGATTCACGGCGCTGCAACCAACGGAAGGAAGGAGTTCGAAGTTGCGGGATGGACGAGATTCTCGATGCTGCAGGTGATCGAGAAGCGGGACGGATCGCATGTGCATCACTGCACCGATGGAAGCTCCGAGATGCTAAATAGGGCGGAGCTGGTGCACCAGAAATCGACGTACGATCGAAGGTATCCATGCATAAGAAAAACAGAGTTGTTGTCAACGTCGCCGGAGCCGCAGAACTTGTGGAAGCAGAAAAACCTAGAGCATAGTATAAATAAACCCTACAATAGTTTAACCAACGTAATACATGGGGTTAGTATAAATAAATAAAATAATAATTAATTAAATTAAAATTGTAATGTCATCCCTACCCTTAACTACCTAAAACGGCTAACTACCCACTAACTACTTAAGATTGATCTAATGGTCCATATTAACTTAAGGAACTTCTTAAGTATAGAGACTTAAGGATGTGAACTCATCCCGTTCAAGTCAACCATTAAAAAGTGGTCGTTGAAAAATATGGCCATTGGCCTATTATGTCCTTTGGGGACAAAACAAGCCAAAACAAACACTCCTTAAAACTAGAAAAGAAAAAAAGGCATCACGCACGCGGCCCAGCGGTGGGCCCGCCCCTCCCTTTTTTTTTGTCACAAATATTCTCATAGGTAACAACTGTATACGAATTGGAAGCTTTTTCAGGCAACCATAATAAAACAAATAAGAGAAAGGGACGACACGACAAATAGCCGAACCATCGATAAGAGAGATTTTATCGCCACGCAACGGGCAACTATTTAATATCTATACGGCATGGGCAATATCCATGATTCTTACCCTATAAAGGTGCGAATCGTGGAACTGACCATGTTGAAACTGAAGCAGAGAAGAAAATCTTTGTCGTTCTGGCAGCAAGAATAACCTACGCATTGACCAGAATTTATGATTGTGCTTCAACCCTTTTCAGGACGAAAATGAAAGACCAAGCCGCTGTGACTGTCAGGTGACCACAATACAACATCAATTCCCTGCAAATCTAGCACCAAAATATGTCCGGAGCATAAACGTGATAGAAATTAAATCACTAATAACACGGATTTGGGATCTCTAATTTTTTCAAGGGCTTTTGTTCTTCAGCAGCCGAAGTGGCTTCACCTTCAAAATAGAACAAAAAACAGACGTGCCGAAGCGAACCAGGCCCATAACTCTGGAAAGGACACAAATCCACCCTGATGCTGTCAACCAAAATATACATAATAAACAACAAAGACGACACGTCGACACCAAAACCAGCACCGGCGAAATGAAGTAATAAAATAGGAATAGGAAAAAAAGAGAACATATACATTCCCTCAATCGATTAGCTTCAACGAGTGATAGCAGCTACTGTCATGCCCTCGCACAGGCTCCCCCAGACTCCACCGCTGCATCTTTTCATATAGGATAAGTATAATAGTAAAGATAATAAATAATTACAAATAAAATAAAATAGGGCAACGGGCAAGCAAGCGACAACGGATGCTGCCCGGCTGAACTCCCATCGCTCACCAACGACAAAGACCCTGACAAATAGCAAACCGTGGAAGAAGATGAGGGCTACCTCCGAAATAATCTGATGGGTGTCGAAGCCTATAAAAGAATTGGAAAGCACAACGTTCATGTCAAAAGGTCCTCAATACTAGCGTGAGACTGCGGCGCCCACGAGAAACAAAGGTGAAGATGGACAGTCTGAAACTTAAAGCAAATTATAGACAGTCTGACCGAAATAACAAATTAGAGAAACCTAACCACAGATTGAAAGAAAACAAATTCAGACATAGCAGAAAAACTGAACGTAAATGGAATGAATGAACACATATATCCAACCAAAATGTCAAACAGAGAGACCGAGGAGGCGGCGGTGGCCAAGGAGACGGCTGGTTTCTGGTGACTAGTGACTGAGGAAGAATAAGAAAAAGTCCCGGAGGATTGCATGGTCACTGCCTCACTGGTATCACAGACATGAAAGATTTGAGGCCCCTCAGACCATCCACTATGGCTAGGTGGGAAATTTGGGTAGGTTGAGGGGGGAAATTTGGGTTTGAGGGTGGGAAACCCCACAATGGGTTGGGAGGGAAAAGTGGGAGGTGCGTTTTTTTATGAATCTGATTTAGTATTAATTTTGTCACTTTAGTTAGATAATTTGATTATTATTTTTATATAGACAGTAATAATTAATTAAGATGAATATTGTGAACATAATTTTTTCGTCATTAATTAAATATGGCAGTTTATGGCTGTTGAAAAATATAGACATTGTAAAATATGTCCTTTGGAATTCAATTATGATCGTTAGATCACATTGAAAACGATCAACGGTTTAAGAAAATCCAAACTAAAACGAAATAGAAAAGCTAAATGTAAAAAGCAAATCTGGCACGCGGGCCCTGCCAGTCCACTCCCCCTCCTTTTGTCCTGTTCTGAGGGAAAACCCTCCCAAACCCACCCAAAAAATCCTTCTTTCCCCCCTTTTCAACCACAATTGCGAGCCCCCATTTGAAAAAGACCCTTCTTTTTCTTCTTCCCACCTCCCATAGTGGGTGGTCTCAAGAGCGAAGTAAGCCCCAATCGGAGACACAACATGACGTTGAGGCCAATAACGACAAAGTCGCACGCCTGTGATCGAGGAAGTAACTTCCCAAAAAGATGAAGGAAAAATGAGGTTGAGAAAGGGGATTGTCTTTTGAGGCGGTGGTGCTAGACGCGGGGGCTGCTAGGGAAGCAGGCGGCGGGTTCGACAAGGGAGGAGAAATCGGTGGAGTTGCAGAATGTGCCAATTTTTGGGAGAGGACTTAAGATTGTCATTTTTGGTTAAAGTCCCGTTCCCCCCTCCCCTTACTCCTCCTTTTGTTGCGTACGAGAGGATCTCCCCCACCCCCCTCCCCTCATTCCCTTTTTCCCACACTTTACCTATCCCATTGTGGGGAAATTTCCCTACTTATCCTACCCCATTGTGGGTGGTCTTACATAACTAAAAAGGTAACAACAAAGTACGCAGTCTGATAAGCTACTTGAGTTTCTTCAAAGTTCAAACCAATCAAGCAGAGACAGTTGCTCCAAAAACATCATAGTAAAACATATAAAAAGCAAACATCTATACAATAAACCACTGAAAAAATAGTTTTGTTAATTCCAACTCAAATCTTTGTTTTTGGGCCTCTAAGTGCTCAACTCATAACAAAAAGCCTAACCCTTTTGAGCAAAAAATTCTTAGCTAGAGCCTAGAAAAAAGTCCACAAAGATTAAGAAAAGAAATCTACACCTAGCAAATAACTTAAACGATTGCCCTTCCTATCGTTTACCTGAACAATGATCAAACATTTTTTCCACCATCGTCGCTGCCTCCGACCTCCGCTTGTTTTCTCGCTTCTTCGGCCTTCAGCTCAGCCATCCTGGTCTTCAACTTCTCAAGCTTCTCAACAGCCTCCACCGCCTTCTTCTTCGCCATCGCCACCTTCTTCTCAGCATCCGCGACCATTTCACCCTTCTTTTCTTGCTCTTTCTTTAGAACCTTCTCCAGGTCAGCCACCCTTGGCTTTTCGACCTCAAGCTCATCCCTAGCTGCATCCCTAGTCTGCAACGCCTGCGCCGCATCAGACTCTAGTTGTGCTTTCAGTGCATCCTTAGGCTGCTTCGTGGTCATGTCTATCAAATCTTGTTCGCCCTTGAGCTTTGCAACAAGTATGGTTGACACGCTAAAACACAACACCTAACTATGGCCAAGTGTAACCAATGAAAGGGACTGCAGTATAGTGGCACAAGTAATAAATATCGAATCCACGGGTCTCTAGAGTTACTATTACTCAGCTTCAGTTCATTATCTAGCAAGCTAGATTAAGGATTGATTAACTAAACTACTCTACTAACTAAACTAAGTAAAACTACTAATTACAGTTTGGGAACTCACTTAGGTATGATTCCCCCTAGCTCCTCAATTAGGTCCAAGTTGTAATTCCTTTTGGTTGATTTACTGTTGATTAAACTGCGGAAGATCCGACAGTAGCTTGGAATCTCTTAAGCTGACCAAGCCCTCTCAGTCTAACTATCCGGCAGACGACTAGTCTTCACCGGGATAGAAAGCTGAAGCAATAAGCACAGAACTCCACTACTGGAATTGGATTCCAGTACAAAGCAGTAAACTGGCTAACTCTCGTATAGCCAATCTCCTACTATCGAATGATGAGACTCTAGCAACCTAATCAGATTCTATCCATCTCAGATTGCAGCAGGAATCAGGAAAAGTTGATCAGACTTCAATTGACTCAATAAACATGCATCATTCGATTATAATCAAACAATATAGCATCCAAAACTTCATACAAGAAAGATCCTAACTCATGGAACTAAGGTTCCTCAAAACCTAAGTGAAGGGAAGTTACTCCATAGAGAAGAGAGAGACTGCAGAAATCTGATCTAGATCTTCAATCTCCATCTCCAAGCTTGATTCCCGAGCTCCAATGGCGAAGAAATCCTCCAAAATAGCTCCAAGAATGTTCCCAAGTCGCTCTCTCTCTCTAGGGTTCGTCCCTTGGGTGTTTGGGATCCAAAAACCCAGCTCTCCTCTTCTTTGGTTCGGAATTTGGCTTAAAACCAGGAAATCCCGACTCGCACGGCCAGGGTGCACGGCCGTGCATATCACCATTCTGGCCGTGCAACTCAAAACGCAGCGTGTCATTTAGTCGAACTTCAGCCCTCTCGCACGGCCAGGGTGCACGACCGTGCGAGCTTCAGGGGTTGCCCGTGCGTGTCCTCGGCATAAGGCGCACGGCCATATTGCTCACGTGCACGGCCGTGCATCCTCCCTGGTCTGCCCGTGCAGCTCCCAAAAACCTCGCCATTCGTCCGTTCTTCGTCCAATCGACCCCAGACTCGCTCCTAAGCCTTCATTCACGTACTAGGACCTGAAACATCACAAACAAGCACAACCTAGCGTGAAATCGGCCTAAAACACGAGAATCAACACCTCAAACGGTGTAAGAATGGGGGTAAAAACATGTGTAAATGACGGTCTATCAATGGTATAGAGAATCATGGGGACAATAACAAAAAACCGAGACTAAGTTTTTGTCTAACCCGGTCACCAGAGCCCCCGGCCCAGCGCCTATACCATGGCGTCGGTGATGCTAATGAAAACATAACTCACATTGTATTAGAATGAACACAAAAGAAATTTTTTTGGAAAATAACTATGAATAGATAGATGGCTTATGAGAACCACATGGAAGAGGTGCCGAACATGATAGGAAAGGGGCAAGTTTGAGCAATCGCCACATAGTAGCCATAGGAGAGCAGCATAGAGTATGGACAGGTGACCCAGGAATTGGCTCACGGAAAAGCCGTAAGCACACATGTGGATCTCGACCAGAAGACCAGAGTCAATCCATGCCACTTGTTGACAGAGTTCCAGACATTGAATTTCCACTCCCTGTTCGAATTAGTAGCACAGACAACATGAAAAAATGGAACCCCAACACGATGGAAACATGGACAAGGAGGGCGTAATGGTGCGGATATATATGTCTCATCCTTGATATTATTGTTATTTCCTTAGTAGGTCAAGTTGACAATGGCAGCAACATGTGTCGCTGCCGTGAAGTGGCACCACCCAAAACTACGGTAGATGTTGGAGCAACAATTTCCACCTGGGGGGACGGTCGTTCACCGAGATGTTGATGTTAGGGTGAACTTTTTCATTGATGTGACCTGAGAGATAGCTGTTGGAATCGCCCACTTTTTAGTTTGGGAGTAGTGAGGAAACAAACTTGATTGCAAACTTGGTAGTGGTGACTGGTGAGGAAGCAAACTTGTTATCAAACCCCCATTTCAAACAGAGCCGAGAAGCTTGCAAAAAAAAAAGTCATCATAGATTTGCTTAAGGGAGGCTAGACCCGTTTTGGGTAATGGCTCAAAGAGGAAACGTGAGGATAAGGAAGAAGATGAAAATATGCAAAAAAATTTGCCTGGTTTTCATTGAACTCTCTCTCTCTCTGAGGAAGCAAACTACTCCTGTAACGACCGATCCTTTTTGAAAACCAAACCATAACTCAAACCAAAAACCGGTTACACTCGACCAACCAAAAACAGGTTTACAAGTGAAAAACCGAAAATCAACAACGACAATGTTAAGAAACATAAAACACCATCCTTGAGTTTCCCAGTATACTCATTAAGACATGAAACGAAAGACAGATATAATGGGGGGGTCCCATCTTGTTACCCAGATCCAGTTGACATCTTCAGGTTTGCTGCGGGTGCTCTCCTCGGGTAACCTCCTCTTGATGGATGCGTCCTCTTCCCCTCTCTGCACCTGGTGAGTGAGAAGGGGTCAGTCTTGTCGTTACTTCCTAAGGTCTTTGCCCTAAGCAAACCCCTACTAAACACATTATTAGGGTTCTCGACTTAGACAAAAGCCATTCTCGCTTTCATCCTTTATACTTTGTTCTCAAACAGTCTATAAGAGATCTCTACTCCTATCTTATCGTTAGAATTTCCTTACGTATATCCTTAATCCATAGACACCAACACTAGGGACCACCGTGTTACGTCTTGTCGTCTGGTATCCCTACCATAGTATGCCAACCGCGTTACGTCTCGTCATCCGGTTGCATACCCAAACTCAGCAATGGCACTGCGTACGTCTCGCTGTCCAGTCCATGCCCGGTCAAAGTCTGCGTTACGTCTCGCCATCCAGTAGTGACCAACCCCCCGGGGGTTCATCTTACCATTAATGAACTATTACAATCATACATCCATACATTCATACATAGCACAACGCGTGCCTCCACCCTTAACTAGGCGGTGAGATGCCTCACACACATATCGCGCATTACTCAAAATTAACTAAATATTAGTTTGAAACAAAAGGCGTAAATTAATAGACCTACGACTGATATATTACCCCCTTTGCACTCACCTCGAAAAGATGACTCATATATTCCTTCCTCGAAGAAATCCCTCCTTAGCCGGATTATCTTGGAAAACCTCTAGAACGTGCCTAGGACTAGTTTGGATGACTCGGGACATTGATTTACTCGTTGATCGATGATCAAACCCTCAAATCTCGCCGCAAACGCTAAAACACAAAAGGGATGGTATCAGGGTCGGTAACAGGGTGGAGACCGGCGCTCACTTTCTTCCCCTTCTTTTATTTTCCTCCTTCTCCTCTTCCTGCCTCGCCTCGCTCGCGCAGCGCGCTTGAAATTTTGGGGAAAGGGTTTTGGTGTGATGGGTTTTTATTATTAATTATATAGGTAAATTAATAATAATAATAATAATAATAATAATAATTATTATTATTTATGATCCGCGGTTGCAACTTTTAGTACGTAACCATCAAACCAACCGCTCATTTATTTTGGTCGAACCCAAATCTAAAATACCGGGATGTTAAAACTCCTGTCTTCTTCTACATAGATCGCTGGGTTGGGTTACGGTTATAATCTATAACCAAGAAATCGAGATGGTTGGGTTATGGTTACGAGCCTCTAGTCAAGTTGTCTTTCTCGTCTGAATTTTGGGGGGGGGGGGGGGGGGCTAAGGCCTTTTGACTACTCTATTTCCTCAATTTGTTATGAGTTTTACATGTAATTTTACCTACATTTCAAATTTTAGGGATGAGACTTCAACCTACCTACTCCACTGTCGACCAGGGTCAGTCTAGGCCACATGTTGACGGAGTCCCAGACCTTGATTTCCACTCCTTGTTCGGATCCAACCACAGTAGCACCAAAACAACGAAAAAATGGAACCCCAACACGGCGAAAGCAACGACAAGGAGGGAGTAATGGTGCACATAGGTCTCGTTGTTTATATTCTTGTTGTTGCAGTAGGACCAGGGGTGGAGCCAGGATTTAGAGTTCCGGGGGGGGGGGGGGGGGGTTGCAGAATTTTTTTATTACGTATTATCATAAAAATAAAAACAAACAAAATAATGTAAATGTCGTCGCACAAAATATTATTTAAGATAATTATATGCACTAAAAGTATTATTTAAATTAAAAAATCAGTGACGATACGTTCAACATTATTAAATAAAATTTCAACATAAAATGATCTTCATATTCAATATTATTATAACTAACAAATGAATGACTCTTAGTATTGAGAAAATAATTAATACGTAAGTTGAAGACAAATGAATGACTATAAGTTGAAGAATTTAATTTACCTAATTTGAAGTTAAAGTATGTAAGAAGACAAAGTATCAAAGCTAAGTGACTACATTGAAATTTTAAAAACAAGTTGTTTTAAAAATACAAATTGTGTTGCTGGTGGGTGTTGAACCCACGTCCACTAATCTCATGAGGAAAACAACTTATCCGCTAGACTATTAGAAGTGGTTAATGAATTTTGCTGCACATAAGTTTATTTATAAAAATACGTCTTAATTAATGCATAATTCCAAAATTCTCGTTCTATTTATACGTGATTTCCAAAGTTCGGGGGGGGGGGGGGGGGGGGGGGCGAGTCCTAACGTAGCTCCGCCCCTACGTAGGAGGCCAGGTTGACAATGGTGGCAGCCTGTGTCGCTGCGGTGTCGTGGCATCAACCAAAACTACATTGGAGCAACAGTTTCCACTTGGGAGGACAGCTTCAGGGTCGTTCATTGGGATTTTGACGCCATGAAGAACATTTGCATTGATGGGACCTGTGAGATAACTGTTGGAATTGCCCATTTTAATAGGTTTGGTATGAGTGAGGAAGCAAACATGGTAACAAGCCTCCTTCTTAAACGCAGCCGAGAAGGTTGCAAAAAAAAAAATGTCGCAAGAAATTTGCATTAGGTAGGCTAGTCTGGTTTTGGGTGATGTCTCGTAGAGGAAAAGTGGGGATAAGGAAAAAGATGAAAAGATGCGAAAATGGTAAACATCTTTGGCCTCTCTCTAAGGAAGCAAACTTCTATTGTCTTTTTCTGCATATGTCGCTAATTGGGTTATGGTTATAGTCTATAACCAAGACAATGAGATGATTGGGTTATGGTTACGAGCCCTTTGTCGTGTTGTCTTTCTCGTCTAAATGAGGGTGGCTTACTTAAATCGTGATAGCTGGGGATGGGGGCTAATGTATTATTGACTACTCTATTTTCTAAATTTGTTATGAATTTTACATGTAATTTTTTACATATATTTTAATTTGAGGAGGGGAATATAGCCCCTCCTGACTTCAACCTAGCTCCTTGACACGCTAAAACACAACACCAAACTGCGACTAAGTGCAATCGCAGTCTGGAAATGCAGTAAATGGCAAGCTCTATTTGTCAACCCGGGGCCTAGATCTACTGCCTACTCCGTGATTATTTATTATCTAGCAAACTAAGTCGAGTGGTTGTTGATTTAAGTAAAAGCAGTAAGAAAGCATGAAATCGTTCGGTTTTCTAAAACAAGGGAAGACTCACTTGGGAATGAGTCCCCTTAGCTCCTTAATTAGGTCACAGTTGTAATTAATGTTGGTTGCTTCACTGTTGATTATACTGCGGAAGATCCGACAGTAGCTTGGAATCTCTTAAGCTGACCAAGCCCTCTCAGTCAAACTACCCGGCAGACGACTAGTCTTCACCGGGATAGAAAGATGAGGCTATGAACACAAAACTCCACTACTGGAACTGAATTCCAGTACAAAGCAGTGAATCGATTAACTCTCGTATAACCAATCTACCACTACCGATTGATGAAGCTCTAACAACCTAATCAGATTCTATCTATCTCAGGTTGCAGCAGAAATCAAGAAAAGATGATCATACTTCAATTGACTCAATGAATCATGCATCAATCGATTATAACCAATCAGTAAAACAATCCCAAGTCATTACAATCAAGATCCCTAACACATGGAACTAGGGTTCTTCATACCCAAGTGAGAGAAGGTTCTACTCCATAGAGAGAGAGAGGAAAATTGAAATCAGAGTAGTCATACTCATAAAGATGAGGAAAATCTGCTCTGGGATGATGATCTTCACTCCTATGATGATCTCCAAGCTCGATTGATGAAACCCAGCTCCAAAATCACCTCTATGATGTGTTCTTCGGACTTTCTCTCTCTAGGGCTCTGTTTTTGCTCCAGAAAATCGATTCCCCCTCCTTTGGCTCGAAATTGGGTTAAAACCCAGAATTTCTCGACCATACGGCCAGGCCATACGGCCGTGTGGCTTTCCAGTCTGCCCATGTGAGTGTCAAAAGGCCGCGTTTCACTTAGTAGTCTTCAGGCACGCTGCACGACCAGAAGCACACGGCCGTGTGGGTTTCCAGTCTGGCCGTATGAGCTCCCTGGACTTTCCACACGGCCACAAGGGGTCCCATAAACGGCCAGTGCGGTTTGCCCGTGCAAAGTGGTGCCACACGGCCAAGTCACACGGCCGGGTGGAATTTTAGGCGCTCCCGTGTGGCTTCCTTTGCTTCTCGCCAAACGTCCAATCTTCGTCCAAGTAACCCCGAACTCGTGCCCAAACCTTCCTTCACGTACTAGGACCTGAAATATCACAAACAAGAACAAACTAGTGTGAAATCGGCCTAAAACATGAGAGATGAGACTTAAACGGTACAAGAATGGTGGACAAAACATGTGTAAATATCAAGTCATCACTCCTCCACCGACTCATCAGCATTGATTACATCAGTAATCTTCTCCTTCCTCTGCCAATTCTTCGGGGAATGCAAAACCATTCATGAACCAAATCAATTCCAGCAACCCCATCGCAACCGACCTTGTTCACCGCCGCTTTCTCTCTAAGAGGTCGAGTAACCACCACCGGGCTTCCTGGTAAGGAGGATTGTGCTATTGCTTCTTCTGATTCTTTATTGCTGGTTTTGCATTCCACAGATAATCAACGGAGGATTGAAAGCCGTAAATGTTATCATACTGCTGAGCAATTTGCTTGTCATCAGAAACGGGACTCCGGGTGGGTGTCGGGGTAAGAGTTATTCTCGTCAGGGTTGATTGGTGGTGGATGAGGTGTATATTATAAATAAATAAATAATTCTTATTTCTTAATCGCCACATCAGATAGTTCATAGACAAAGGTCAGAATTGACCACCATATAGCGGAGACAGAGGTCGATTGATCATTTACGAAATAAGAGTGTAAAGTGAGTGAGCATTGATGCACTAAGAATGTTTGTAACACCCTAGTCCGGCCAGACACTACTTTTATCAAAAATACCCTTGATACACCATGTAGTAAAATAAGAACTGAAAATAGTTATAAAATAGTAGAAACATTTCATAAATAATAACTTTAATAAATACTGAAAACAACTGTCATTACTTTAATCATAAAGCATAATAACTAATTAGCCTCAAATGTTGTTGTTGACTATTAACATTAACTAGAATCCTCCGTGGTCTATACTCATAATCATAATAAAGTATAATAACTAATTAGCCTCAAATGTTGTTGTTGACTATTAACATTAACTAGAATCCTCAGTGACCCTCGTACCGTCCTCCTCTAGTTGGCACTCCTCGAACCGTTTCTCTCACTCTCGCACTGCTCTCGAACTGCTCCTCTAGCCCTTCGTCTTCAAACTGGTGAGTGAGTTGGGGTCAGTCTACGCCCTTACGCTTAAAATTTCTAATGCTTAGCACTTTATCTTAAACACTTACTTCAACTGCTGGAAGTTGTTTGTACTTCCACTCTTACAAAAATCTTAACTCATAAAACTGTATGGGAGTTACTGTTACTCTCCATTCTTAAAGCTCAAATCTCAACTTAAATACTTGACTGGCACGGGGATCCCTCACTAGCTAGTCTGGTTTCCTAACTCATACGTATGAGAAGCCATCCAGGCTTTCCTTAAACTTAAACTTAGTTAGGGGAGTCGTAACGATTCATCCCCCTAACATGTTAAACTTATCATGGTCGCTCTTCACTACGATTCTCAAGAGCATAACTGCTGCTCATTTTAAAGTCTCAAGAGCATAACTGCTGCTCTATCTCAAAATCTCAAACGGTAACGGACTGGCGCTAGTGACTAAAAATACTTAAAACGATTTCACATTCTTTGAAGGTGAAGTACTTCTTAAAAGGAAACTTGTTTCTTAAACTTTTACAATAACTCATAAATGCAAAGCTTCAAAGTAACATTAAACTCTTAAACATTTACTTCTTCAAATCATAGCTCAAGTAAAGCACATATCATTAATCATAAGCATAAACTACAATAGCGACCAATTCACAAATACTTAAAACTCGTAAACAAATACTTGAAAATACGTAACGCGTAAAATATACCTCTTTACAATCACCTTATTAATCAGATGTATGCTTTGAAAATAGCTAGCAAGTGTTGTCCGTAACACTGTATCTCACATGTACTTTCTAACATGACGCTATGTGATAAAACATGACTAATTCCCACATATCACATTCACTTTACTCGTTCCCCTGATGGACATGGCCATTGAGAACTACACCACCTGTACCATGCAAGCAAATCAATCCCTAAAACCATATTCCAATTAGAAACCACTAACCAATTATTTCCAAGCATTCACGTGCACATCCCTCTACCTTTGCATTCAAGTTCATTACCAACGAGTTCTTTTGTGCAAGACTTCTGTCGGGGATTCCAGACGATTTTACATTTCTCTTATCAACTAGAGAACGCGTCTAGTTGTGGCGAGCATCTACCCTATATCAATTGCCCCTTTCCACGAGTTGATTCTGTCCGATTGGTTTAATATACCAATTGCCCTTTGTCACGAGTTGGGATTGTCCGATTGATTCCGCATCTATCTTTTATTTCTTATTGTTCAAGTTGGAGAAAAACTTCGAAAACCCTTAAAAAG